TAAGTTTAATTCATACTGATTTGAGAGATTTGAAACAAACTATTTTGTGTAAAGGAAGGAATAATTCATGCAATTACTCCTCCATATTCCCTTGAGTCAAATAGTGTAGCTGAAAGAAAAATAAAACATTAAAAGAAATGACGAATTCTATTCTTGTTAGTTATAATGCACATGAAAATTTATGGGATAAATCTTTATTATCTGCATGTTATATTTAAAATAGAATTCCTTATAAGAAAATTGATGGGACACTATAAATTATGGCAAGGCTATTCTCCTAACTTAAAATATTTAAAAGTGTGGGGATGTCTTGCTAAAGTAATGCTTCCTAATTTTAAGAAGAGAAAAATTGGCTTTAAGGCATCTAATTGCACGTTTATTGGTTATGTTGAATATAGTGCTACATATAGATTTTTTGTATTAAAAAGTGATGTTCGGATAATAATACAATTGTTGAAACAAAAAATGCTAAATTTTTCTAGCATATTTTCCCAGTGAGAACTGATGCAATTTCTCATGCATCTTTTAGTAAAAATGATTTTGAAATACAAAATGATGATTTGAGAAGGAGTCAAAGACCAAGGAAAGAAATTTCTTTTGGTAATTTTTTTATACTTATTTTCTAAATAATGATCTTTTAATTTATGTTGATGTAATTTCTTCTAAAGAAAGTCCATTCTGGAAAAAAGCTATACAAAATGAGATTGATTCGATTTTACAAAATTAAACTTAGAAATGAATTGATTTACCACCTAGAGCCAAACCAATTGGTTGAAAATAGATTTTTAAACAAAAATTTAATCTTGATGGTTCTATTGATAAATACAAAACTAGATTATTTGCAAAGAGTTTTACTCAAAAACAAAAAATTAACTATTTTGATACTTTTGCTCCAGTAACAAGAATTTTATCTATTCATATTTTATTTTCCTTAGCTTCAATTTATAAACTTTTTGTTCATTAAATATGTTAAAACCACTTTTCTAAATATAGATTTAAAAGAATAAATTTATATTGTACAACTTGATGGATGTATTCTTCTTAGTCAAGAAAACAAAGTTTGTAAATTAATTAAATCTTTATATGGCTTGAAACAAGCACCAAAACAATGGCATGAGAAATTTGATCAAGTTCTTATTAGTAATAGATTTTCTACTGTTGAAGTTGTTAAATGTATGTACATAAAAACTATTGATAGTGAATGTGTGATTATTAGCTTATTTGTTGATGATATTCTTATTTTTTGTACATGCATTAATGTAGTCAATAAAACAAAACGTTTTTTAACTTTTAAATTTGATATGAAAGATCTGAGAGAAGCTAATGTTATTTTGGGTATTAAAATTATAAAATGTGATCGTAGCTTAATACTAACACAAGGGCATTATGTTGAGAGGCTACTTAAAATGTTTGAACATTTTAATGTCAAACTAGTAAATACTCCTTATGATGCTAATACCAAATTAAAAAAAAAATAGAGGGGGTAGTGTAGCTCAGTCTGAGTATACACAAATTATTGGTAGTCTGATACATTTCATGAATTATACTCGATCTAGTATAGCTTATGCTATTTGTAAACTGAAAGATATACACAAAGTCACAATCAAGATCATTGGACTATCTTGATCTCAGTAATAAAATTTTTGAAAGGTACCATAAACTATGGTATTTTATATAATTGATTTTCCACTGTATTAGAAAGATATAGTGATGTTAATTGGATCTTAGATTCAAATGAGACAATCTACAAGTGGTTATGTATTCACCTTTAGTGGGGGTTGTTATAACTTGAAAATCAGTCAAACAAACAATAAATGCTAATTCTACAATAGAATCAACATTTGTTGTTTTAGAGGAATCAAAATTTTTAGTTTTAGAGTTGGTTGGAAATGAAGTAAAGTGGTTAAGAAACCTTTTAGTTAATATTCCATTTGGAATGAAACCAACATCTTCTATAGCTATGGATCGTGATTACCAAGTAGCAATAACCATTGCAAAGAATAAAACTATCAATATTAAGAATAGACACATTCATTTGAAACGTGATGTAGCAAAGCAGCTGCTTAGAGATGGAATTATGTCCATTAATTATGCGAAGTCAGAGCTGAATTTGGTCACACCTTTAACTAAACTCTTAAGAAGAAAATTGATTAATGATATATCGAGAGGAATAGGACTTAAGCCAATTGAAGAAATCAACAAATAATAGTAACACAACCTATGTGATTGCAGAGCCCATGAATTAGGTTCATGAGTAATAACAAATTATTGGGTGATAAATTGATGTACTATTAAAATTATTATTCCTCCCATGGTGTGTGAATGTTGCAAAACTGTAATGCAAGAGAGGTTGTATCAAACTGCAGCTTACACTTGATGGAATCACCTATATAAGTGTGGAATGGGGCCACTACTAGGGAAATTATGGCAAATTCTCTAGAACACTTATGAATAATCAAACACACGCATGGCCTATTCTCGTAAAACCAAGTTGAACAGCAAAAGATGTGAGGGTGTAATGTGATTCATGAAAACTATATTTCACATAAAGAATTTTTAGTTCATATATGTTATAAACTTCACCAAAATTCTATGATTTATGTTTCATACTTTTTAAGGTTGGTTCATAGCTTAAAAAGCACCAGTCACAATGGCTTACACTCAAATAAAATTTGACCTAGCAAAACTTCTTACGAAACGTTATGAAATATATGAGGGATTGTTGAAAATATAGTATATTTCATAAGGTTCAAACATCCACATTGCTAATTTACGTAAAGATGTTAGTGCTTTAAATAAGTAAACCCATTTTGAGCTTGTTGCAAGGAAGGAAAAAGGAATAGGTTCTCGCACACATGAGATCGAGCCAAGCCTTGAGAAAATTCAGATTTCCCTCTTTGTGTGTGAGTATACATGTGAGCTAGACTCAAACTCTACTATGTTGACTGAGTTCTATTAACTCTCTTAATTTCTCTTGATTTGGTGCAACATCTATCTACATGCTAATTAAGTTTTTTTCTCAACTCTCTTAATTTGGTGCAATGTTCACTTCATTCTTTACTTATAAATACAACCTCCCAATCACAACATACACCAAATCCCTTATCTCCTCTATAGCTTCTCTACTTATTTTTTCCTTTAGAAAGTCTTTTTACTATTCCTGTTATCCTTATTAGTTTGTGCAAACTATAAAAAAAATCTATTAAATCTAGAAAGATAATCGCTATAATATTTTTACACCTAATTTTATACTCCAAAAAAATTAAAATTATCTTTAAAGATAATAATATCGTGCCTCAATCATCTTATTATTTTTACTTGCTTTATTATATTTTCATTTGTTTGCTATATTTTTTAACACCTCTTTTCACAAGAAACCACCTTTTGGGGTTTTGATGATTGGAGTGGAGGTTGGCTTCGATTCCTTTAAGCCATGCTTGCTGATGGTCTGGGGTATGGGTGTTTGGTTTGCTTCTCTGTTTTGGCATTGGCAAGGAGAATGGTTGGATTGAAGTCCGGAGAACCTGTGAGGGGAAGGTCTTCTTTGCAGAACGTTCTGTTGTTCTTCCCTTTTCCTCTTCATTCGTTGCTAGCTTCTTTGTGGCGGGGTTTTTCGCGTGTAGTTATGTTGAGGAAGAGCTAGAGAAGTTTTGTGCTTGGAACACAGTTGTTCTTGGTCTTCATCTGATGGTCTGCTTGCGGCTTTCCTTGATTCATGCCCTCTGTTCTACTTTGTGAGGCTCTTCTTGCCTGATCGTTCTAAGGAGACATCAGGGGTTGCTATGGTTTCTCCTTAGGCTCTTCACGGCTGATCGATGTCGAACTTTGCGCCATGGGGTAAGCTCGGTTATATGGTTTTTGAGTGTGGCCTTTGTCGAGTTTGGTTTTTCGATGGCAGGATTCTTGTGGTGTTTCTGGTGGCTTTTCTAGCGATTCTGATTTTTGAGTGGTAGAGCGTTTTGTTTTCATTCTGCCAAGTGATGGTTTCTGAGAAAACACTCATGTTTTTATTTTTTGACGCGGGTTGGCAGTCTCGATCCTTTAAGGTAACATTTTTATAAGTCGTTGGCCCTTTTTGACAATTGTACAGGTGCTCTCATCCTCACAGTTTCATTTATGGCATAAAAGTCTTCTCTCTTTCAAGTTTCAGAGACTTAAAAATGGCATGCAGGTGATGGGATTGATAAAAAGTATCTTTTAAAAAAACAAAATGTAATATGTTTACCATGGAGAAAGTTGATCCTGTCATATATTTCAAGAAATAAAGCTGCCAATGAATTAACTTGGCTGGTTATCAAAGAATTTCAAGCAGACATACATTAATTATTTTCCAGTAAACATTGACTAATGGGTGATGGAGGAGCATGGCGTATGTAGCTGAATCTCGGGCTAAACTATTCTGTATTAAAGTACCAGTCCGACTATACAAAAGTTTTAAAATTAGATCCCAAAATAATTGTGATGAGGAGGAGTGTTTGGTATTTTTCGAGAACCAAACAACCTGAGGATCGTGGATCATGTCCAGTTACAGGACAAGTCATTTAGTTTCACCGCCTGGGTTTAGGGTGGGTGAAGTCCCGCTTATATTTGTCATCATTCTCTTCGCACCCTTCATTTTCTTTTGTTGGAATTTTTTGATTAATTTGGATAATTTTATGTTCTCTTTATAGGATATAGAGGAATTCATTCTTGCTGTCTGTTAAGGCCAAAAGTCATGTCCACTAAGTAATTTCTATTTGTTTTTCTTTCTTTTTTCTGAATTTTAATTTTCTTTCCCTGCTTGACTCCATGCATGACAATGCCATATGTTCATATCCGGGTAAAAAGTTCATGTCATCAACTCAACTTTGACCGTATGATGAACTTTAATGACCTTAATTTTCCTCTCCTAGTATCAGCCTGAATAAATTTCTAAAATATGACTAATTATCTTGACAGCAAAGTGGTCAGCATTTTTCCATTCAGTTATTTGAGTCACTAATCCAAACAAATTCATTAGGTTTGTCAAAGAATGAATGTTCAACAACTAAAAGAACAATACATTGCAGTTTTGAAATAGCAATGGCTACAAATTTCAAAAGATTATATTGCCTCGCTTATGACAAAAAGATCATGCTTAGCCTCTACAAAGACAAATTTGAAGATAAGCAAGTGCCGTGACACAACCTCATCTCTTTCTTTTCTTCCTTCATATGCGATTAGGAACACTTAAAAAAAAAACAATTTTAATGAAAAAAATGATCTCGTGCTACTAAGTAACATCCTCATATACCACATGAAAAAAGTTTTTAAATATATATATATATATATATATATATATATATTCATCCCATATAGAAGTAAGGAAAGACCAGTCTCACTTGATTTCACTGGGACTGGTGTGTTTCTTCTTGGTTCTTTGCTTTGCCTCTAAGCATGTCAGTGACTCTCATGATCCGCATGAATCTGGTATCCTCTGCTGGTGCAGGTGCCACCACAGCTTTTGGGGATTCAACTGCCTCTGTTGGTGGTTCAGTACTTTCTTTCTTACCTAGCAGCCCACCTTCACCAAAGAAACTAGTCACTGATGATGCAATCCCGAGGTGAGCTCCCATCACCTTACTCAAAGCCTCAAAAGTCCCACCCGACCTTTCTTTCAATATTATTTCAAGGGCTTCTTTGTGTGCTGGATCTAATGCATCAGGGTCTTTTAACAAGTTTTGTAAGGTGGGTAGGAGGAAATCCCGAATGCTATTTGCAGAAACATCTACATAAAAAAAATGAGATAGCCCAAAATACATCAAACAGAAACCTTTTTGGATGCAAATATGTAATTACACAACTGAACCATTTGGGGAGGGGGAACCACAAATAAATTATCACAGATTAACAGCAGCAATATTTTATGTTTCCTTAGTGTTGAAGGATAGTGAACCTTGGCAATTCCATTAAAAAAAAACCTAGTGGCATAAAAGATGAAACTTCTGCTGAAGAAATAATAGATCTAATAAAGAGATTTTAAAGGTTTTAATAATTCAACTCCCAGACACTCTTCCCCCTTCAATCTTGAGTTTACTAATTTTAATCAAGAAGTGTGGGGAGCGATTTGAATCCTATTCTTCCCATCCCACCCTTTTGAAAGGCAGGATGACCAATTGGCCTGCTGTCTCCACAAACTTATATATAATCAGTGATTAATATAATGGCAGTTCATCTGAGTTCATTCATTGTAAACTGAGGAAAGTTCAACACAGGCTGGTACTAACAAAAGTGATGTGAGTACAGCATGGGTATAAGAAGGGAGCATGTGATGTTTGTCCAACATCAAAGAAAAATATGGGGAAACTTATTCTTACTACCAGCAAAATACCAACCTAATACAGTGATTCTATTATTAAAAGGAAGAACCTTTTAAGGAAACATACAAACAATGATGAATGTGTAATCATTTATAATTCCTCTTGATTTGCCTACCAGGCATGCCAATAAAAAATGTATAATGTACATGGACTTAAACTGAGATTTATCAAAATCAATAATGAACAGAAATGAAACCATCAACTTACAGATGGTCAAACCACAAATAAAACACAGCCATCTTAACCCCAATCCACGCCCCCCTTCCCCCTCTCTCTCTCTCTTTCTGCAATGACAGGGTGAAATGATGGAGAATGTAGAAGGCAGTGAAAAGATGCCTACAGTTACTTAGAGAAGCAAACCTGTTGCATCCACAGCACGAATGGCTTCACAAAATGCATTAGCTCTCTGTCGACGACGCATCACATCAGTTGCAGAAACAGGCATGCTTGTCAGTTGGAAAATCTTAGATAATAGATGTAAATCATGTTAAGGAAAAAATGGCTTCACATAATAATTTGCCAGTGGCAATCACTAAAATGGCTATATCACAATGCATAACTCAATGAATAAAGTCCTAAAAATTAATTTTCCCATGAAAGTCAAGGATATAATCCCTAAGTCTCTCTGTTGTATGCGGAACTGCTATCACTAATGAATGGACCACAGCAATGGTTGCTTCATGTGATCCATCTTCAAGAAAAGCATCCATTTGAACACGTATTTTATCAACAATCTGCAACATGATGAGTTTGTGAGTATAATGTAAGGGTACTTCATTAGCATGAATCGAAATAAAAACCCCGTACCATGTCATTTTTAAAATGTTGTGCCACAGCTCCAAATGCATCTATGCTTGCATACTTCACATTCAGATTTTGGTCAGAGCCAAGAGTAATCAAGGCAGGCAGAACATGTGTAGAGGCAACTTTTGCATCGATATATGGCACCTGTTAAATGTACTAAGTTAATAACTTAGTATCAGGTATAGGAGGATATATTTGTTCCAAAGGAAAGAGAAACATACAATGACTTTCAATATATTGGCAGCACCGATCTTCATTTCTATATTAGAGCTTACTACCATTTCCCACAAAATATTGAATATCATGCCATGATGTTCTTCAAATGTGCTGCATTTTTGAAGAAGATTCTTTGTGAAATATTGAGCAATAAATAACAAATAGTTAGGACTAAAGGTTTTTAATTACAAACCAAAGGAAGCGGACAGCATTAACAACATCAATGTTGTGTGATGTAGACTGATTCTCTTTCATGGCACCTTCAACTAATAGCTTTCTCAAGTAGTCTGCTAACTGTTCGCGCTTACCAGGACCTCCTAGGACACCAGCCAAGAGAAGTGGCAGGATACATAGAGTAGCAAGTCTCTCAGCCACAGCTGTTCTTGGGCGCAAACCTGCAACCAAGCAACAATTAATGAACATGCAATGATCAAAGGTAAACAAAATTCTAAGAATCCAATACCTTTGATTCTCAAATGAATGTTGGGAGGGAAAAATGTCAAATCAGCATCATCACCAACCGCAACCAAGAATACAGGCAGTATTATGTGCGTCAAATAAGCGTCCCCAAAATGTTCAGAAACAGCTAACAAAAACTGCAATATCATGATATAGATTAGCAACAACAACAACAGCATTGTTTTCAATAGATCAAGCAATGGAGAAAGCAGAAAAGTTCTTAAGAAATGCAATATTGACAAAAGTACCTTTGTAGTTCGGTTTCTTAAATTATCCTCTTTCTGGGGTAACAAGCAAGCCAGCTGTATCAAACCAGAAAAGCAATCGACATGCATCCATTCAAATGCAGGCCATTCAACATGCCCCCTAGTAGAATATTAAAATATATCAAAATCAAATTTGCTCATAACTAAGCAATCAAATATCATACCATATTCTCTTCTGAAAATTCAGATATGAAAGGAAATAAAAATCTGGAAAATTAAACAACAAAGGAAAAGCAAGCTTACCCTGCATACAGTTCAAGCAGAGAGCTGGAGAATATTGTCCCATTCGGCTCTGAAACAGAGGAAAATGGGCATGTCTCGATGGCTTTCTGATGCACATAAGGAAGCAATTCAGCCAGCATTCTTAACAAAACATCAAGATTCCAGCGCTCCCGTTCACCTAAAACACGCAGGTGGGACTCCACTGACCCTTCAACTCCAGAAAGAGGTGGGCAACGCTGACATTATTGGGGGAAAAATATTAAAAGGGAGAAGTATTGCAAACTGGAAATGTCAGTGCCTGCATGAGAAACCAACAGGTGCAAAGTTACCTGAGCACAGCCTAAGATATGAGAGAGTAGAACTCGCAAAATATGATCTAACTTGTTTCCCCAATTTATTACTGCAGGAAGTAGTTCTTTTATTGTAGTTTCCACCACCACTCCAGACGGATCACAGGCCAATTGAAACATCAACTCCTCAACCTATCAACAAACAAATAAAGGCGTTGGAGAATCGTTATGGATTATTTTATTATGCTTTCTCTATTTCCTCCAAGTCATGATATTATGCTAAGGGCAAGAGGCTCCATCCCGTAGACCATGGGTCATCAACCTATTCTAGAGCTTACATTGTAGCCAATTCTGTCAAGTCAGAATTCCTCTCCATGATTGCCTCGAAGCATATTTAGTGAGGCTGACCTTGAAATATTTATCCATAAGCGGAAAGAGTGGAAGCAGCAAGGCCAGGTTGTGCGCAGCAGCTTCTCGAACAACAGTTGCGGGATCTTCAATCAGTTGTTGCACAATAGATAAAATAAGAGAATCACGAATCTCAGGTCGGACAAATTCAGCAAGCTCTCCACATGATTGAGCAACCAGCAACCTGCGCTCCTCGTACATGTGATTTATCTCCATTCAAAAAAAAATCGGATCAGGCCACTACAAATATAACTGACAAAACAAGAAAGCAGTGCAGAAACTCACTTGTTCCCAGCACTGGGGAAGTAATTCTGTTTCCGTTCTCATCTCCCCTACATTTTTAGCAAGGCTAACACATGCCTGAAATGAAGTTGAAAAGATTTAGCACCGTATTCATACTTGTAGCTATTGAACACGTAATGTGATCCTCAGAACAGTAACATACATCCATTATAATTCGCCTCTGCTGTTCATCTGGACGTTTAATCAAATTGAAGAGTGTGTGTGTCAACGAGTCTCGAGTGGCATTATCTGGATGCCGCTCAATAGCACACATTATCAGTGGAAGAAGTTCCTGCAGATAAATAAAATAAATTTATAAGAATATTATATAATATTGATGTCAGAGTAAAAACTAATGTAGTCAGAAAGTAGACCTCCCGATGGTTGATCAACACATAAGGAACAATCTTGGGCAAGGCATCTGCAAGGATTTGAATCGTCCCCAAACCCTGTCAAAATAAAAACTCTGCTTCAGATATGATACATAGACTAAATTTCTGTTAGGGGAAACATAAGGAAAGAACAGACTGAGGGAGAAGAGCCACGAGTGTGGTGGATGTGGAGTGAGAGGAAAGAAAGGTTTATAACTAAGTGAAAAAATGCTATTCAAATGGAAAGCCTATAAAATTTGTAAACAGACCCAACAGATCTCATATTGCTAAGAGCCCCAATCCACCCCAATCTCCCCACAAAATCCTAAGACAGAGAAACCCCTGCTTCCACCCTTGAGGGTAAGGATAAAGCGGAAATAAAAACTTGCCATGTTCTCAGGAGCAGGTCCATTGCCCAGGATTTCCGATTTTAAATGGAACCCATTACGTTCTGGTGGTGTTTTCTCATCTTGTTGGGATAGGATTCCACCATCTGGGAAACCATCAGAATTGTTCAAAGGATTGGTAACTGATTCTTGCAAATTTTCTTCAGGCTTGTGAGTGTTGTTATCAAATGTTTGGACTGGCAGTGACTGTGCATTGCTGTCTATATCTCCTGCTGGTTCAATTGGAGAGATTAGAGTTTTATTTTCATCCATCTCAACAACTTTCTCCTCAGTCTGTATTGATTCTTTCTCAGCAAAGCTGGAATCATCTAAATCTGGAATATTTGTTCTCTTTGACATTAATCTTTCAATTTCCATCTGCAAAGACTTTATTTCTTCTTCGTAACTTTCCAAGGCACCTGAATGAGCAGGGTTGACATTAGTATCCGCTGAAATTTGTACAGAACGAGATCCTTCGATGTGCATTTTCAGAGAAGTGATTTCAGCCCTGCAATCATTCAGTTCCTTCCTTTGGTGCTCCCAGGCATGCTTCAGATCTTGTATCTGAAGAAATATGAACCGGTGTAGTAATTATCATCTTAGCATCATCAAGGAGCTGCTCCCAAAGGAATTGAGTTAGAGAGAATTACCTGCTTTTCCTTGTCCTTCAGATCCTTCTGAGCAGCTTCCAAGGATTTAGTTAATGCATTCATTTGACCTTCAGCCAAATTTTTGTTTTTCGTCAAGCATTCATTCTTATGATTTAAACTTTCATTCGCTTTTTGTAATAACTCATTTTCTCGAATCATAGAAATTTTCTCCTGCAACAGAAGAAACATTACCATCTTCAATGATAGGAAATTCAATGCAAGAGGAATGATGTACATCAATTGTGACAGCAGATATTGTTAAAACATTGATCCTTCTTAATCATATCTCAACCTTTTGAATGTCAAAGATACATTAAGTCAAGCAACATATGTCCACAAACAACATGAAGAAGAAGCATCTATGACAAGCAATGTCAGCCACATCCAAATGTAAAAAGAAGAGGGCATGTGGGCAAGATTTTAGGACAAGGCTCTGTTCTTATCTCTGATTGATATCTACAGATCATAGATATTTTCTCAATGAAATAATTCCATAAACGTAATAATACAAGCAACACTTTTATTAACCAAACTACAATAAATTCAGATTAAGTTGCACTGAATATCATAAACAACAGTACAAATTGATTCTATCACCCAGGGCTTGATAAGATAAGTACACACACAACACAACAAATGCAAGAAAGAAAAAGCAGGTGACAAAAATGATACTGTTGCACATGAAGCTAAGTAACCATACTAAAGCATAGTAGCTATCAAGTACAAATATGAAAGATATTCAGTATGATTCGATATGAATGGTTAAAAAAAAAACAGCTTGCCCACCTCAGCAGCTTCTGAAGTTGATGACAGGTACTGATAATAATAATGGCGTAAGGCATCAGGTACACATGCTGGTGAGTTTTCCCAAATATCTAAGTTCTGGTCTGTAACCTGAGGTAAACCATGAACCAGCTATGATAAGTTTGAAAAACTAGCCGTACACTATGTACATTCACCAGATTAGACCGCTTCATACCCTCTCAAGGGCCTAAAAACCCACTTGTGTAAGAAAAATAAGACAAACTGCAAAGAAAAGATGAAAATTAAATTATAAAAACGTGATAGAATTATACAGCTTCTTTGTCCCTCTCTCTGTTTTTCTTTTTTTGTTTTTGGCGGGGGACAGGGTGGGGGTTGGGGAAGGGTGGCGGGAGTGGGGGTGGGGTGTGGTGGGGGGTTTTTGTAGATTTTACCATTCTAAAAGGTGCCAGGGCATCCCTAGGGAAAAGATGATAACTTAGGTTCTAACATCGTATCAAAAGCTGGACCAGCCCCTGCCTGCATTTTTCTTTTTTTCAAAATACCTTCATGTTTAGAAAATTTCTCCTCTAACATGTTATAGGGCAAGTATTTTGTAGTTCTTGCAGTTTCCAATAATAATTTAAAATTTCCTAAATTTTCAGTTTATTGACTTTTCCACGAAGCTTTGAGCAGATGGATTGGCAGGACAGCACCTTGCAGCCAAACCAATCACAACAAAAAGTTTAGGTCCTCTAATGCTGGTTGGTGCAGATTTAGAGAATTAAAAAGCACATTTATCCCTTTTAATGAGATATTAATTGTCTCTCTTCATATTGTACTAATCCCCCCAAAAAATAAAGGAAAAAAAAGATAAACCAAAATGCAAGAATAAAGGAAAGAAATTGTCCTTGCAGTAACAAGAACAAAACACTACCAATAGTTGTACATACCTCCTCATAAAATGTCATTGCAGTTAGTCGATATCCAGCTATCAGCAAATATTCCTTTACTGCGTAATTAAGATCTTTACGCTCATTAGCCTTCAATGGGCCTAAATCTGAGAAGGGAGCATCTCTTTTTTGCCGACTGATCCCCGGTGCATGATTTACAGAATTGCTCGCACTTGACTCTACATGTGCATCCAATTTAAAAATAATTTACAAATGCCAGAAGCATGATGGCTAACTATAAATGCCGAAATTTACCATTGGCGATTACACAAAGCCCACCAAAGATAGTTGTGTCTTCTATGCAAAACAGTTGCCAGTGAAAAGCAACTGCTGCAAAAATTTGGGTGCCATTCCCAAACATTAATATGAATATCTAGGATGATAAGCAGAAAACCATATGTCATTCTATGCATACACTTAGTAATGGAAGGTGGCCAACCTCATGGAATGCAAAAAGAGCCCAAAAGGTATAATTTTCCTATAAATTTCCTTTACCACAAGCAACTCGTCTATGGTGTACCTATACGATAAAGGTAGCCACTATTGACCATTTTGGTGCTCTAATGATTCTTGGAGCCATAAATAGGGACTCTTTCAATTCAGCAACCTACTAAAAGATGTGCCATACAAAGGGATTAAAATTTTTATTTAAAAATATCATTTGCAAAAGCTAAGTGCATCAATTCAGATTACCACTCAATTTATCCTGAGGGAGATCTGCTTTCCTCTGTAATTCTGTCTTGAGTTTCATAATGTCTTCTAGAGCTAAACGCAGTTCATAGTCACTAACTGCTAACTTTTCTTCTATTGCTTCTTTCTCTTCTAGCAAACTCTGAGGGTCTACAACTGCATTTCAAGAAATAAAGGATAGAGTAAAGCATCAGTAAGGTTCATGAGTTCCAGTTATAAATAGAAAATGGGCTTTTATATATATATATATATATATATATATAATTCAAGTTTCTTTTCAAAAATAAGTTGGACTCGGATTACACCACTTGACTAAAACTAAATTTGTGGGGGGGGTGGGGTTGGTTGGAGAAAAGACACGACGAATGGTAGCAAATTGGAATCATCAAGTTTTAGATATCTACTTAGCAAGCACTAAATAAGGGGTATATTACATATATGACAACAACAGCAACCCTTACATATCAACAACTCAGATGTATTATGCCTTTAAGCAGAATACGATAAGCATACAATATCACTGGAAGCCACAAACTCTTACGATAAGCATAATTAGTTAATTACTAGTTAACTATCTTGTTGAAACGGATGCCCTTGTTGCTAAGGCAAAATCAAAACAGAACTGCCAACTCTGACAAATTTTGATTAATTCTTACATAAAACTTAAATTATAAATTTCATTCTTCCAAACAAGATTAAAATTTTTATTTGTTATATATCCAAACTTTGCATTTCAAAAATCTTAAAACTCTGTTCCGTTGTTACTTTTGCCACTTGCTTTCTCTAAAACACTACCAGCATCAATGTTTTCTATGTTTTTTACATGCCATATTGGGCTACATAACGAGCGGTAACCCTCTTACGTCCCATAAATCCCACTATGCCCATTCCAAGATTCGAACTCCAAAATCCAAGATGGAGCCTTAAGCTCTAACCACCAGAGGGATGTTCCCTCGGAAACTTTGACCAGCTAGACTACAACGGAGTTAAATTTTCTCTACAATTTGATCTAACAATAACTAATTCACAATATACAAAAAAAAAAAGGAAAAAGAAAAAATATAATTGACAATGCTTAAACCATTCCAGATTTCAAGCTTGAAAAAGAAATTAAAAAAAATACCTCGAAGAGAGTTGTAGCGAGAGATCTGATCAGCAGGAAAATGAGAAGAATCCGCAAAAAATTCCTTAAGACGAATAGCTTGAGCGTCACGGCCATCGTCAAGAAGCTCGTGGAGTAATTCAAATGCCGTTAACAAGTAATTTTCTTCTAGTAGAAAATTCACTACGCAATTGCACAGCGATGATCTCTCAACATCCATAATCTGATCTTTCCTTTTTTTTTTTCTTTTTCAATCAATTAATTAATCTCCTCCATTTATAAACATCAGGAACTCATCAGTTCTCTCCCCCAAAACAAATCTAGATTTTTTTTTTTTTGACGAAATGGTTGCAGAGGCCGTGGGTTTTTTGGAAGTCTCAAGAGGTTCGAGCTGGAAGGAAAGGGGAGGTTTGATTTGGTGTGACGGAGATGTAATAGGGTTTCGTACAGTTTAGCTGATGTGGCTGTTCGATCTGATGAGTTTTTAGATTTGAATATGGGTGAGGTCAGAGGTGGGCTGTGGGATCTGTTGGATTGAGCACGTGCGTTGGTGCATGGGAGTTTGGAGCAGCACCCGTAAAGTCAACGGCAAAACCGCTAGCGCTTTGCCTAAATGCATTTTTTTCCGTAGTTATTTGGATTTATATTTTTTATGTATTTTTAATGCATTATATCATCATTTTGTAAAAAATTAAAATATCTTAATTTTTTAAAATTTTAATTTTAATTTTACACGAATATATTAATATTAAAAATAGTAATTCATCTTAAAAGAATTTTTTTACTATATATATAAGTTCAATTTTTAATTAATTATTAATATTTTTATTAATTTGATAACGTGATAATATTTTTAATATAATTTTATTTTTTATTAATTTTAAAAATTATTATTATATAAATTATAATTTTTTTAAAAAAATTCTTTTTTATTCAAAAAAAATTTCTCTATACTAACTAGCCACTCGACTGCCAAATCTAGTTGGAGAGCATCAAATTCAATAAAATAATTGGCACTCCCTTAGGAAACACCGGTCTGGTGCTCCCTTGGAGAGCCAATCTGACATTCCAAGACCAGATTCGATCGCAAGGTGGTCGATTGGTTAAAGAAATGCAGTGGGTCAGTTTAAAAAAAGATTGAAAAAAATATATTTTAGTCATTTCATATTTAAATATTAACATCGTTTACACGTTTAGGATGGAGTGTTCATTTTAAAAACTAATAGATTTGGATGAAGTTATGGTCAAAATTTAGAGAGGTCAAAGTATTTTATCTTTTATAAAAATATTTTTTTCTTTTATTTATTTTAATATATTAAAAAAGTATCAAAATTAATAAAAAAAATTGTATGATTTTATAGTGCTTGGACTAAACTATTTATATTTATTAAATGAAACCTAAAATAAAAAGTTCAATGTCTTTATAATTGAGTTAAGAAAACTTTAAAAAAATGAGAAATTAAAGGCATCAACAGAGTTGTTAATATTAAAAAGTTGATGGTAATTTCTTTTTTAACAAGTAAATAGACAAACCAATTAAATTACAAGTTAAATCTCAAAGACATTATCAAATAGTAATCTGGAAGTTCAATAAGACTTTCCATTGTCTTATAAAATCCCAAAAAAAAATTATAATTAAAATACAAAAAAAAAGATGATAAAAGAAAAAGGACAATGAACATAATTGAAATAAAATAAGTCATACCACCTAGGAAAAAATCCCAATCTTGTAACAAAGAGGGGTTTAGAAAAATTACATGAGTTTTATTAGATTATTAGATCCTCTAGACCTTAAATTGTACCACTCTCTTCACATAAATGAAATCAAATCATGAAATGTTTTATTTCTTTCTCCTCATGGACATGTTAATAATGCAAAAGCACTCTAATACAGTATTACTCATTACGAACAAAATTAATTATTTTATTTAATTAAACAAATAATAAAAGTAAACCAATGTAGTAATTATAGGATAAATTATAAATAAATAAGTGGATTAGATTATGATATGTATAAACTCTAAAAAAGTCCTTATAGTATTCTTGTTTATTTAATTAAGTTCTACAATTTTGATTACATTTAATTAAACTTTTAAATTTTTATTTTGAATTGAATAGGCTCTTTAACATATTGAAAATGTAAATGTCATTAAACTCAATCTCAACTATCCTTTTCTATCCACATGATATATTACCTGTCTAGTTGACATGGTCATGTGGCATACCTAGAAACCAAAATACTCCGTCATCTACTAGCATCGAGATCACCAAACAAATACAATTTTTTTTTGTGATTTCAATGCCCATAACCAATCATCGACCAATGTTTTTAGGTTTTTGTTTTGCCACGTGGCCATGTATGCTATCAAGTCATATCATGTGCCTGGTGGACAAAAAACGCCAATTGACATTAAGACAGTAATTAATTTTCTATTAAGGTTAAAAGATTTATTTGATTCAAAATAAAAATTGAAAAACTTGTTTAAATGTATTAAAAAGTGAGGGGTTTAGTTAAAAATGGATATAGTGTAGGGTCTTTTTTAAAGTTTAAGCCAATAGAATATGATTACGACACAAACACAATGTCGTTAGCTTGATTTTGTTATCTTAATCTTCAACACAATCTACAAATCAAGAATTGATTTCATCATCTTCACGTGTAAGTTGAACAATGCGTCAAAGTTTGAGCTCAATCAGAAAACTTTACTTCAACCCACATAGTGTAGTTGTTTTTTGTCAAAACTGGTGCATTGATTTTAAAAATTTTAGATTTATCCATATTAGTGTCAAAATTAGTAGAAACTATAATCAGAATTGGAATTAAAAGGTCAAAATTAACAAAAAAAAAACATTGATTTAATGGAGGACTGATGTGGTAAGGTTAACATGGTTGATGTAACGGCAAGCTAACGTGGTTGATATCTTATAATATGACAACATGGGTGGTGACATGTCAACTGATGTGATTGTTGACATGGTTGATAATGTGGCAAAGATGCTGCAATAGGTTGCTGTGGTAGGTAATAGACAAATAGGGTCTGAATTGGGGTAGTGAGCATGAGAGTGCCTGAAATGTTCTGTTTGGCACATGGGAGTGCATGAGTTGGCAAATGGGCTTTGACAATCGACAACTAATAGAACGACAAGAGACATGGCATCTTATGGCGATGATAATTTGATTTGGTGGTTGGATAATGGCGTGGGTTCAACATAACCTAAAATGGTGTAAAGGCGAGTATGACTATTTTTGGCAATTTTAAGTGGCAAGGTTACTTAGGATTGCTCCTTCAATGATGGGTGATAATGATGTTTTTATGACTCACACGTTATTTTCACCTATTTTGTTCAGATCAGTAGCTTACTTGATTACGTGACCTGTAGAATAGTGCAACAACTCATTTGTGGTAAGTGTGGTATAGCTTTCTTTCCAATCTTTTAATGTCATACACTCCGCAGTATGTTTAATTTATTTTTGAACTATTTTGTTGATAAATGAACTCTGTTATGTAAATAATGTTAATAATCTTGTTTACCCTTTCGGATATTATGTTGAGTCCCGGATATGGGTGCATGAGAATGATAAGATTATGGTGGATGTCTATAACAAAATCGGCATGAGGTGCATGCCAAACCATTGCTATTTTATTTATATGTGAATATTTATATGGAATGTGAAAAAAATCGAACTTTATGTTGAGAAGTGCTATGTGCTGACCTCGATGAATTATTGCATATTTTGATTATGGATGAACTTATGTTGGTGAATGCGGTGGATGACTTACCCATGCATTTATGAATTTAAGCTTATTTAGGCCTAATGGACCATAGCCACATAGGTCCATACGTTAGTCATGATCCCTCTCGAAATGGGATGTGACAAAATTCCACACATAAGAATAGTATTGGTAAGCAACAAAATGAGGTGGATCGATTTCTAGCACAATACAGGATTGGTGCATAAAATTATTTTGCATGGGAGTTTCCTGGTAGGCACGACACGTTGAAGGATTCACTTAAACATCGCTTAAATCACACTAGGTGATCCCAAAGCCTACCATCATAGTTGCAGCAATGCAATGCTACCAAGTTATATAAGAGTTCAAATAATGACACCAAAAGCATTGAAAGGGATACGATGTGCACAGTGATGAAAGGAATAGAGAAGTACTGATTATGGTAAAGGATAATGTGCTAGAAGAAAAAAAAGACTCCACTAAAAAAAACTAGCAATGATGTTTAGATGGCTATAATGAATGATAACTTAATCAATGTGGTAGATAATGCAATGCAAGGAGAAAAAATAATTTAACATGTTGTGACGTTGGATAGCTCGAAGCATATTGCAATTGGTGTGGTTGATAATTTTATCCCTCCACCTAAATCTCCCACAAAACCGTGGTCGACTAATATGGGCATTGAGAAAAAAAGGGGTATTGTAATCCTTGGAAGGAAGGAAAAACCACTCGATAAAAAAAAGGATGGTTAAAGTCACTATGGTGTCATTGAAAAAAAAAGGCAAGAGTGAAGTCGGTAACCCCAAGTGATAATAGGGTTTCATTCTCCTAACTTTTAGTCAATGGTGAAATGAAGTTAGGGAATAATTCCAACTAGATAGCTATAGCAATGTGGTCAATTTTGGATAATTTGGAAAAAGACAAAAGAGACAACAAGTAAGTCTCTCTTTTTTATTTGTATTTGTATTTGTTTTGTGGATTTTCATATTTTTGTGTGGAATTACTAGGGAGTTAATGATAGTAACCTGATAAGAACTTTGAAGGATTTTGGAAGACAATGTGATTTTTTTATGTTAATTTTAGTGGAATCCTAAATTAATGGTGCTTAGGTTGACCAAGTAATTCCAAGGTTGGGATTTAATAGATCACATCATGTTGAAGTAATGAGTATTTTAGGATGGCATTTGGATTTTATGGAGGGAGGATATTCAAATTTCTATTGTTCGCAATTATTACTAATGCCTACATTAGTCCCTTTAGGTTTATTGTGGTATTTTTCAAAAATTTATGGACATCCTAACGCAACAATGAGGCACAAATTATAGGAGGATTGTCTAATTTTGCAGATTTAGTCGATCGGCCATGGTTGTTAACAAGTGATTTTAATGTTTTTCTCTTCTCACATGAGAAATCAAGAGGCTTTTCATTGGGTAGTAGACCATGTGTTTGTTTCAAAAGTTTGTTAATGATTGCAATTTGTTAGACTTGAATTTTCAAGGTCCAAGATATACATGGAAGTATGGTATGATTTTGGAAAGATTGGATAAGGCAATTTGTAACATTACTCAAAGACTTAAATTTTCTAATGTTGTGGTACAACATCTACTGCGGATTAGTTCAGACCATAGTCCTCTTTTGATCAAGATATGTGACAAAGGATCTTTGAATGTGAATATGGGATTTCGATTTCAAGCCGCTTGGCTAAGGCACAATGATTTTAA